AAATGTAATACATATAGGTTAGCTTGTCTATTAATAGAGATCTCTGTAGGAATCCTTTTGATAGGAAACAAGAGCAGAAATTATAGGTTAGGTATTGGTAACAAAAAATTGTCACGTTTCTTTGTGAAATTATATGAAATTAAAGTAACGTACCATATATAAAAAAGGAATAGAAATGCAAAGAATAAGAGGATGAATAAATATAAAATATATTATTATAGGATTTTTTTGTGTGATTGTGAACCCTGAAAAGTAGGTGTCTCCAAATAATTAAGTGATTAGGTGTACCCGCGTGCCGTGCGATTTGTATCACAGCCCGGTCACTTCGACAATCATTACCCTGTTTAATATTACCCCAAGCTTACCTTTCATGTTTTACAATTTACCCCCACACTAAATATGGGACTGTCAAAAATACATTCCTTACATTCTTTACTAGTTCTTGATTGGATGTTTTAATAATATATTTTGTTCGTAGGACTTATAACTCGTGTCACTGTCGTGTTTCTCTTGAATAGATATCAAAGGAAGAGTAATTAGTTAATTATTGTGATATAATTAATTAGTTAATTAATTCATTGTGTATTAATAAGCATTCCTGAACTCAATTAAATGGTTAGGTATTGATTAATACACTCCAAAATATTGCCATCTTACGGTGCGTTTAATATAATATTTACTTTACAGCAACCGTGATCACGGACAGACGAGATGAAAAGATTTTTCATACATTACTCGCAAAATTCTTAGATATCATTAAGAAAACTATGATTTTCGGATAAATTACGCATTTTTTTATATTATCATATGTTTCACCCAACGTTTTAGTTTCTATACAATAATCAAATCAGCTGATAAATGAGAGTATCAAATTAATTAAAATGAGTACGCGCAAAAATCTTACATATAGATTCAATACAACTCATATTATCTGTAGTAAGTATTTTTAAGCCAACTTTATTATAATCAATTAAAATAATGTTGAATTATCAGATATATACATTTTAATTAAAATACTTACTAGTTGGAAAACCCTCGGCGTTATAATTTGCAACATACTGACATATTTATGTCAATACACATATAATGTCGTAAGAAAATCATTACGAATGCAATCATTAATTAAAATAAAGTATCTAAGAATATATTTATGTTATATTTCATGTAATTTCAATAAATTTTTGACCCGCCAGCCAACATAGAGGTGCGATGGCGTGACAGTCACGTGACCTTTTTTTTGTACCAATATTTCGTCACGTCTGTAGTAAGCAGCTTTACTAACGAAGCATGATAGATGTATCGTATAAAGGACTATTTCTCAACGCGACACACAGACGGTTAATTTTGTTGTATGTTTAGTTATTATCGTGTTAGTCCCACATCGGAATACATTATTAATTATGCTAATCATTTAATGAATAATGTATCACGTGTTACGAGATATGTAATATACATATGAATTCCGACGGTTATGTATGTATATTTTGTAACGTTAGTTGGTTTTGAGACTTAAGTTATTGTGAGTATAGTTTAAATTTGAATGTAAGTGGTATATTACTAAATTATTATTAGGCCAGAATTTAAGTTTCTTTGCGACGGACGAAATTGTCTCGTTTTGATCCTGATTTTGACGAAAATCATTTCCTTTATTACTCTGCTGATGTTTTTAAAACAACTTTTTTTGCTATTTTTTTTGTTGTTAAGCTATTGTATATCAATATACCCATTTGTCATTACCCGTCGTATCTAATAACGCGAGATCTTTTAACTTAATCAAACATTAAGTAATTTCACACATAACTCACTATTAATTATCATCGTGTTTGAATCGTATTTATTATGTACCAGCAAAAAATTACTAAATATATTTCAATGTACGAACCCGTTGACACATCTTATTTATAGTATAATTGAGAATCAAATATGTATTTGACATAGCAATATACAATGATGAATTATAACTGTTAATTGGTAGAACATATTGTGTGTCAGCGGAAACATATTAATATATCCTTGGAGGCAGTGAAAGAAATCGTAAAACAAATACGCGGAAAATGAGCAACTTTCTCGTGATGTCGCCATTTTTCATTCGATCCGTTCGTACGTCACGCGTTGCCATAACGACCGGGGATTGAATGACAAAGGCGGCATTTCTCTCCGGCAGAGGTTTGGCAAATAATTTGAGTATTTAAAATTATTTGCTTCATGCACACTTTAGACACGGTTCGGGATGCAGGATAATAAAATCTTGCACATTTTAAACTCTCAAATCTGCAGTCTATAAAGCGTTTGACTTCTTTTTGGTAATAATGTTACTAATTTGGCTCTGTTTGTGTGAATTTCTGAGGTTTATCTTCGTTGTTTGAGTCATTACTTAGTCCATTGTATAGTTGGTCAAATGACTTCCATAGCAAGTTTTGATTTTTATCAGATCTTTCTGATTAGAAACAATTTTGACAAACATATTTGAATCCTAGACAGATGCTTTGTATTTTCTTCAAACTTCAACTTGTAATATAAAAATATTACAAGTTGAGCTTAAGCAGCTTTAAGCTTTGTATAAAAGCTTTATTTATATTTATAACTTTCATAGTTTTTATATATTTTGTATATTAAGTCTAATGTAATTATTAGCTTTGTTTTGTCTACATAAACTTTTTACTTACAATGAAACATTATAGTTGAAACACAGAAAAATGTTAAAAATTCACATATGTATTTTAGAATTTCTCCGAAGTTCTGGGATCTGGATTCGTGAATACATAATTTCTATGATTCACCTGCTGGTCGAACCCTAATAATTTATAATATATAAAAATGTATTTTGATTGACTTTAAGTATACGCCAGGTAGCGAATGTTTAATATGTAAATCTTTGGCTATATTACACAGTAGCTTCTTCTAGCTATGAAAAATATTAAAATTGATTGTAAAAATTTCTTCAGATATTCAACCTACATTGTAACAAGTTTTTTTCAAAATTGTTACCGACGTACAACCTCACAAAGTTTCTCAATAATACTTCCAGGTACATATGTATGTCTTTTATGAAAATACCAGAATACTGAACTATTTCATAAAAGTTATTTGGTTATAATTTTTTGAATAGATACTTCTAATTATTTTCTTCCGTTTATCAAATGTTACATTACAGCCGACGGCGGAGGGGTAAAGAAATAAGATTAAACCATAATCAATATGGCGATATGTGATAACAGCTGACTGTGTTATTGATAAGAGCAATAGAAAAGATTCTATAATTTTAATATATATTGTACAATTATTTAACATATGGAATAAAATCTTATATTTTATAAGGCTAAAGTTTTTTTCTAAAAATATAAGCAAAGTTCTACCAACACTTACATTCATACAATATGTTTTGTTGTAGTCGGATAAATGTATGAAGGAAGAGTTATAAAAATAATTAATGAGTAAACAAATGAAATGAAACAATGTGAATGTGTTTAATAATGTTATATTTTGATTCAATAAATTACTCACATAACTTTTTACATCTTATCCAATGTGATCATTTACAGTTCCACGGATCCTCATTTACAACTATTGATATAAATTAACTTAATTATTTTGTACCTAATATATTGTTTCTGCTACAAAATATACATTAGTGTCTCCTACGTCTATATCTATTACAAAAATCCATTACCAAAAATGCATACAAATATCTTATTTTAATATAATATACAATTGTTCCACGCGACACAAAATAATTGAGAAGCTATTTATTTATCTGTACTTAATCCTGTGACAGAATGAAATATACAATTAAACAATTCTTTTTCAACAAAGTTTTTATAAAAAAAATACGATTTACATATCATATGATTTACATAAATAATTATTCTTTTTCCTGAGAACATTATTTTATTTAATAATGTTTCTGTTTATTATGTTATAGTTTTTTTTTAATGTAATTTACTGTTTTATTTTATTAATTATACTTCTTTTGAACTAAAAAATAAAAAAAAATGTTACACGCGTACCTATAATATGTTAAGCGAATAGCTATGAGATTTTTTTATAAAGTTGCTTTGAAATAACAAAACCTATAAATAAATTCTTCTTAAATATGACTTATATAATAAAATTAAGAACAGTTCTCATATAAAATTATTATATTGAAAGTCTTCGTGGTTATTTAAGCTGCACAAAAATCATTATAATGGGTTAGTGTTGCACTAATTGGCTCTTATCGAACGTTTATTTCATCCAGAAACTAATTACCCTTTTACGATTCTATAGTGTATTGTGTTTATTCTCATTACAAATAATTTAATAACTATTAGTTTTCTTAGGAAGTTGGATGATAGGTATTACAAGTAATTTAATTTATTAATATATATATTATTTAATATTTAAACAAATTTGTCGTTGTCTGTGTTAGTGTAAGGTGTCAATTATGAGAACAAAATTTTTGTAAATGTATAGACAAAAGCTATGAAAATATAAATTAATTAAAATTAAAATTAAGTAAGAGAAAGTCTTGTATATTGCACCAGCTTATAAATTTAAACATCTTCCAATGAAAATTAGTACATGCGATACTTGAAACATGAAATGATATGCTTTTAACTTTACATATCGGGCATATTGTTCCTAATTACTCGTCTATCCAAATATATTATGGACAGTTGCCATCGATTTGTTATTAAGATTACATATATATAAATATAGACAATCATTTAATATGAAAAAAATAAAATACCAAAATAATCAACAATAATAAAATGATATTGCCCCAAGGTTTATGAAAATAAATCAATAAAGATGAAGGAATAAATATAATAACTATGTACACTACGCTATCATCTATATAATACATATACCGACTAATATTCACAAAGAGATATGTAAAATTTTAAGTCTTAAACAAAGATTACTACTAACGATAATCATTTATACTTAAAGCAAAGGAACATTTCACTCGACGCCGGTTTAAAGGAAAATTAACATCCGGTAGCCTCTAATAGTTATTTTCACGTGTTAAGGAGAGATTCTATACTGAATGGATTGTGTTTCCTCGCGCCACTGTTCTTTGATAGACCCTGTTCCGTGCTGGAATTGCCGCTTAGGTCTAAAGACACGGCTCGGCCGGAGTCGAAGTCGAATTTGTCGAAGTTAGTTGCCGCTGAAGTGAACTGCTTGAAGAATGATGTCTGCGGATCTGGCAGGGGACTGAAATTACGAGCTGAGTGTCCATCAGACGTGGAGCTGTCTGAATGATTGATGGCGTCCGCGCCAGGCGCTCGGAGACGTCCTGATAGCGAAAAATCTTCTGGACCTGAATCATGGCAGGAATCACCTCCAACCACATCTATCATACATTCCTCTCCGTCTAAATCTCCGTCTGAATCGGAGTATAAACCGCTGTTTCTGTGCTGCGCTAAATATTCAGCCTTCAAAGCCTCCAGATCCACCGCGATGCCTTTAGCCCGTAACTTCCTCGCCTGCCTCTCAAGAGCTTTTGCCAGCTTCTTTCTTCTTCTCGCCCTGTTGGAAATTGTAGGGCCTAATTAGTATAGAACCTAATTGTATTGTCACTGAAGTCGAATATACTTGTCTTTTATTAAAAATAAAAACGATATCGAATCTATAGCATACTTGATTCATTAACAAATATCTACATGTACGGGAACCACTAATTCTGATGAGTCATATAAGACAATAAGATAATAATATTTAAGAAGTTTCCAAAAACAAAACATAACCTTCAAGTACTTCAACTAGCCTATACAAGATAGAATTTCTTAATATCTTTGTATTGTAATGTTAGTTAGAGTAATTAGTATGTTTCATGACAACCAGATAACAATATTTAAGAAGAATCCAGAAACAAAACATAATCTTGACGTACTTCAATTATAATATTAGATAGAATTTCTTTATATCTTTGTATTATAATGTAAGTTATAGTATATTTATATGTTTCATGGTATATTATATCATCCTGTAACCCGCTCACCTCTCCCTAGCTCTCAGTTCGTGTGGTGGTATCGGTTCCCCAGAACAGCTCTGTGGATGTGCATTATGAGCCGGTCGACCTGGACCCTTCTTCGTGTGCTCCTTCTTACGCCACTTAGCTCGACGGTTTTGGAACCATACCTAAAACAAGATCTAATCAGTCATGTATTCATATAGCCGAATCCTGACATCTAAGATTTATGGGATAAATAAAACAAGATATAATAATCAAAGAATTAATTTTGTCTCCCAATCTGGCTATCTATGATTTATAAGACAAATATATGTATATATATAAATATATGATTTATGGTCACTAACAAAAGATGCTCAAACGGAAAAACTAAACAGACTTAAAAATAAATTATTCTTATAGTAAACATCAAGACAATATTCCTTGAAACCTAATCAAATCTAATTCACAATTATATATAATAAATCAACACATCTACTAACAATACGTAATGAAAACCTCCTTTATTATTTCTTTATCACATACAACAACATTTCTCTTAATAAACTAAAATTGCATGTGAATTTTTAATGTCAAATCAAGGTACGTAATGGGTCGGTAATGTGTGTTGGCTGCGCGGGCGCATGCGCCGGCACGCCTGCATTAACATAACGTGCCCATCGATATTTAATGTCTCAATCCACGACTATCTTACACACGTATCTACGGACAGACATATATAATATATGTTCAATGGAATATAATATATTTGTAAAGATATATAAAAGATATATGTTTCTTTGTAATTGTTTTAATTTTTGAAGTGGTACTATCAAAAAGTCTGCTTTTATAATCCCTACTAATATTATAAATGCGAAAGTAACTCTGTCTGTCTGTTACCGTTTCACCCCTAAACCACTGAACTGATTTTAATGAAACTTGGAACAGACATAGAGTTGACCTTGAGAAGGAACATAGGATAGTTTTTATCCCAGACTTTTGAAAGGTTCTCTTGGAAACGCGATATAACAAAACTCCACGCGGGCGAAGCTGCGGGCGGAAAGCTAGTTTTAATATATGCTTAAGGGAATGTCATTTAAATTAAGTTCCAAAATATTTGAAATTTAATGAACGATTAAGAGTTTCGCAATAATTAAGTAAAGCATAAGAATTGATCGCATATTTTATTATTATTGAAAATTCTTTGGGATTAATTATAAAGTCGCAATGTATTTTTAATTTGTTAATAACCTTGAATTTTAATGGCGACATTCCATAGTCAGCGACGCTCAATCGATTCAGATAATAAACTTTATTCGATTCAATTAACTTAATTAAGTCTATTTTTATAAAAAAGAATTTCACAATATTATAAGCATTTTTATAATACTATAGAAAACATAGATAATAAAAAAGACTGTCAACATTTTTTATTTTATACTATGGTTTTATTCATTCATTCTGGAATAATGGAATATTATGCCAATGTTATATTTTTATTGAACGAATTATCATTTTGAATTTAATGTGAACAAAACATGAAGGAGTATGTCTAATGGAATAAAGACTACATATATATGTTTTACCAGAACCTAGAAAAACAAAAAATACACACATATAAATCAGACAATCATTAATGATCATCGTAATAATCAAATATTTTATGTGACATTGGCAGAATACACTACTCATTTAACATTCACGAAGGTCGTAAATTAAAAAATAATATGACATAAAAATAATTCATAACAATTTCATTGTAACACATTTGAAAGTTATAATTCGTATCCGTTAGTCTATAAAACCTAAAAGGATACTTAATGAAGGATTATTATATATCAAACATATTGTGGTCGGGCGACATGTGTTTGAAGAGTTTTACGACTGACCCGCATCATGCCGGATAGCATTTACGGAGACCGTCCGACAACGGATTAATTCAATAAAATATAACATTATATTTAACAGCCTTCCAAATTAAACGTACGTCCCAGAAGGCGAAAACCTGACAATTATTATCATCACCATATTTATTAGCATTATAATAAATATAAGTTGAAATTTAATTTAATTTATCCCCACGTGTAGTTACGGTGGCCGGGCAACGATAATGAGGTAAGTGCGCAGATATCAAACAATGACTGAGACGAAATAACAATGAAATAAATAAATACTTATTTACTTAAGGTGTTGTATTTATTAAGTAATGAGGTTGTATATAATTAGTTTGTGGCTTACGGTGAGTTATAAAATAACGTAGTAGAAAAATGTGGAACAATATATACTAATATTATAGATACTTTAGTTTGTGTGGGTGTATTCTGATTATACTTTACTGTAATATAGTTTATAAAAGTGGTAATGAATATGAAGTTATGTCAAACAGATACTAGATGTCGCTAGCGCCTGATCAACATACCTATTATTTCAATACGCTTTATACCTACGTTTTTCTCTAAGATCAATCTAAAAATTTAATACAGACGAAGTCGCGAGTAAAAACTAGTATGTAATATAAAACATACTTAAAGAAGTTTTCACATTCCTAAACATTATTAAAACTGAAATAAAAATAACTTAAATATTATTGCGACGTATTAATTCATATCGTTTGTGTATTATATAAAAAATATGAAACATAATTTGAACAACACTAATAAGTTTTAATTCGATGTTTATTTTTCACCAATTATTATTATAAGCAATAAAATTATTATAGCCATAGTAATTACAAGCACATAAAACTAATTACTTTCTAGTTTCCTTGTTAGGCTATTTAATTGCTAATACAGCGCCGAAATTAATATTTATAAAGAAATTTATAAGTGCTAAAATTATATTCGTATAGCAATAAAAAAAAAGATTCAAACACAAACAATCTAACTTTTAATTAAAGCCAGTCTGTTTGTAATCGAAATACATTGATTAGGGAATAGAATGTGAACGCGCTGTAATGGCCTGTACCCACTTAATGACCCTCCCCTACACCCCACAGAGGAGGCACAGATAAAATATATTCAGCGATCGAACCATGAAAATAACATTTTTAATCTGTTACACATAATAATCTGTCAAAATCAAATGCTAAAAAATTCTATCTGTCACTTTGAATCAACTGTCAGATTGATCGGAATCAAAATCTTTGTTATCTGTGGTTTTAAATGAAGTATCTAAATATATTCATTGTTTCATCAAACATCAAATTCACCCCAATTGTGGTTGGGTCGTGTGGAGTGCGGAGTAAGTCGATCCTCCCCTGTGTATAGCCTACTTAAAGAACGTAACGAAATTCATAAGAAACCATTCGTTGGGATTCCATTGTCTGCAATTGGCGCCTTCGCCCCAGCCCTCGTGTAAATAAGAATAAATACATTTAGGTAGTTTTCCGTGTGGGGATTTTTTCCCGATTTCCCGAGTTTGTTAGATGACGCCATCTCCCTCTATCGAACAAGCTTGTCCTTTGTCATCATTACATTTGATACGAATCGTTTAATTCGTTACGTTACTCGTAATATGTATTTATAATATAAAGTTCGTTGTAATCATGTAGAACCTTTTTATTAAAAGCTCGTTATCTGTAACGTCTTATTTATCACGCTAATTACACTAAATCATTTGCATGTTTAGTGCCGTAACATTATTTACGGGCTATATATCTGAGGCTTCGGGATATTTCCGTGTCTATCTTTTACCGCTAAGCCCAGGGCGGTGGAGGCGGCTCGTGTTAGATATGGAGAGCGAGATGGCAGATACGTTTTACGGCTGCGAGAGAGGGACGGGGGGAGGTCCTTAAATTTTATATTCTATCCACATTTTGTCGCCTAAGCGTTCCATTTAGTGTTCCATATTTAAACTTCGCGCTCTTTCTTTTTTTTTCCTCAACGGAGCGGAGAGTGTAGCGCTATTTTCTATATATATTTTTCCGTTACTTAAGGGCGGCGGATGTGCTCGGCATACTGATGTGTGCGTACCGAGGCTCAGTTTGGGAATCAAATTGGCATATAAATGTAAATTTTATGCTATGAATTTTAAAATGAAGTCGATACTTCCTCGCTTACCTCGGCGCGGGTGAGCCATTTTCGCAAGTTTTACGTTTTGCGGGGTGAAATTAGATTAGAATTTGGTATTTTGGGTAAAAAATGGCCTTTTAATGCTTTGCGTGATATGTTTGCTGCTTTCGGTGATTTGAGTATTGGTGTTGAAATATTCTGTTATGATGTGTTATTGTTGAAGCAATAAGTTTTTATATATTTAATATTTAAATATAGCCAATATAATTAAACAAATTTTTAACCGGATATATACATTCATACAAATTATATAAGTTTCAATCAAAAATATACACCAAAAAGAAAACCCCAAGTATGTAGTATAATATACAATGCTACATCGATTACAAGTCCCGTACAAAACGAACGTAACCCGACAAACTCAAATAGGGAAATCAAAGAAAGAAAAAAATCCACTTTACAGACACAAACAAGTCACTTAAACTTTATTGAGCCGTAATCGAATTGTGACATCCCTGCGTCGCGCTCCGGCCCGCAGCTCACGGACATATAGCCGTCCTTATCGCACGCGCCCATTTAAATCTATGCTATTCAATCGTGCCGTCTCGCTCGCGTCCCAGGGGTGCCGCCGAGATGGCAATCTTTTGATTTATACCAACTATTAGGAGCGCCCGGCCAGTACGTCTTTGTGAGAGATTCGCTGCGATAAACTACGAATACAATCGACCTTAGTACTGATTATATGGATTTATTTTGTTTTCAACCTAATAAGGAGTAAGGTTAGCCTGTATATTATATTAAATTTATAAGAGGATTTAGAACAGCCGCCAATACGCGCCGGTGATAAATTAGTTCGTGATCACAATATAAGATAGTCTATGGATATTCCGTGGTATATCAGTACTGGATTTGATATATTTATATTTTATCATGAAAACAGGAAAAGCTGTTTCATGTCAACTATTTCAAAAATTCCGAAGTTTTCGAAGTTCCGATTTTGACGAGTATCCGAACATTCAGGTCACAATACTTGACATTTTGTAGTTTTTTTTATGTTATGAAAATATTAAATGTGATATAAAATAGTGTTCAAATCATTTAATACGTGTTATCAGCTATCCGCCAACTAACGTAAGTGGCATGCCCACGTCCCAAGAGCTCTCTTAGATCAGTTCACGAAATAAGGAAGATAGCCGCTCATTTATATTGAACGAATCCGCGTTCGGATACTTTTACTAAATGGACAAATACGTGTAATTCCCTTCATCACTTTGGGACTGAGTAAATTCAAATTTAGAACACTTTTCAAATTACACTATTTTTTTTCTATTAGAATTTAATTTTAATAAATTCTATCCAGTACCTACATATATGATTAAAGAATTTCTATTTAATTATGAAGGAAATTTTTATACGTTTTCTTTGAAAAAACTAAATATTAATATATGTACTTGATATGATTTTTAAATCTTTACATTATAAAGTCGCTCAAACTATCAGTATATAGTTACGAGAACTCATACTACACGAATCCACGTCGGAAATTAAAACGATGTTTAACGAGGCTTATAATGTTCTCCAATATTCTAATAGGTCGACTTCAATATATTTTTATGGTCAAATTTATAATGTTATTAATCTTTGCATTATTTTCTAATGTTTCCGCAACAGTCTTTTTTACCCAAATTTCACGGTTCATTGGAAGGATCAAGCGTTTTTGTACATTTCTTTGACTTACAACGGATTCTTTTAAGTATAAAAATTCCATTAAAACTGACTCAGTTCCCAAAGCTCATAGTAATTTTAAATCCACAAACTACCGTAAAGCAATAAGCACAATAACAGACATTTAATTATAAATTAATAGGCAATTTTAATTTCATTTTCTATTAAAAGAAGCCGTAAAGTACATGGAAGGTGTGAAGAATTAAGACGTAGACTTAGTTCGTTTGTAGCTAAATGTGTTACCGCGTTAAATGTTCTGTCACGCGGTATTACTCTGTTTATATTCGAGGAACGGTGATCAAGCTAATATGTCCGCCATTTTGATTGCCATATTTTATGTATTCCCGTTCTAAATTTAAACTGGCATTCAACCGTGACGTGTTACAAAGGAGTTTACGTATTTATCATAATAAAATTAGATATTATTATTTTTGTAATCATTTAACTGTCTATAGATACAAAATGTACAATATACTATTATTTCTTTGAATTGGTATCTTTTTAATAAATGCATATAATGAAATCCTTATAAGAACTAAATACGTAGTTATCAAGAAAACGCAGTAAAATAGACTATTATACTATTCACGTTCTGATTAAATACAGAACTCATCTTTTATACGTCGGTTAAATGCTTATCATTTCGATCTATATAAAGATTAATCTCATATACTCACGGCAACTCTACTCTCTTTGAGGTCAAGCCTCATAGCCAGCGCCTCCCTCATGAATACATCTGGGTAGTGTGACGCCAGGAAGGCTCTCTCCAGCTCCTCCAGCTGCCAGGAGTTGAAGTTAGTTCTGGAGCGACGCCGCTTGCCGCTGTCACCATCATCATCAGCTAGACCACCTGGAAATACACAGAACTTTGAAAACTTCCAGGTGTAACAACACTGGTACTTAATGTGGATCATGCTAGTAAAATTACGCTATTAGAACATTCTCTTTCTACCTGGCAATTTTCCCAGCTTTAGCTGAAGTCTTTAGAACATTATGACGCATTAATTCGATAAGATATTAATGAACAATTTGAAGATATAGATTTGACATAATAACGACTTTATGATCTATTATTAAGCGAGCGTTTAGCAAATTTTATAGGTCATGTAACGACCTTCAATCTCCACCCAAACGCACCGTATCTCAATAAGCCGCCTTTTTAAACCGAAGCGATGAAACTTTTAAAACTTAATACCGTCTTTTATGTACGCCATAAAGCTCTGTGTTTTATTGCTCTGTAACACCGTCGCTAAAGCGAAAATATTTCCAATCAGGAATGAATAAGACATCACAATAAAATGCATCGCCATTCGGCAGCATCGTTTAGACAATACAGCAACTGTTAAAATAAGCGCGACCCGGGGCTCGTAAACATGATATAATCGCAGAACAAGTTTCTCCAAATAGAATATAATTTCTAATTTTGCTGTCGGTGATTTTAATTAAAAATGCTCCCAAGAGACGCTACTAGGATGTTGAGGGACCTCCATAAATTAACCGCTGTGCCTTTAAATCTAAATAAATTACAAGTGATTAAGATGTGTACGCTTCTGTTGCAATCTGAGTAACACTTTGATATCATAATACATAAGTTATAAATTACGTATTAATACATTTTCTAAAACCAACCGAGAATTATTGAGCCTGGGAACATTTATAAACAAATGTTATTACATTATCTGTCAATATATTTTTAATCTGTATTCATAAATATCAACAATCACTTCGATTTATGTTATACAAAGAACTGTGATAGATCAATGATTAAAACGGTGGCTTAAGGCTTTAGGAGCTGAACGTGTGAAAGAGACAGCATCATTCATTTAATGATAGGAGTGAAAGAGATGTAATCTGTTATTGTATTAAAACAAACGACCGGCCTGGGCACAGAGCGAACAGTTTTGGCGCGCTTTAATTTCGTCTCCTCAATGTTTTAATGTCGCCAGGGAGTGGAGGGAGGTGGTTAGTAAGTATCTATTTGAGGGCTGTATACAACGGTTAATAAATTCTTAGAGTTAATAATTCTACTTTGTTCAGTTGTTCAGTTATAAATAATGTTGTTGACACAAGTGCTAGGGAAGGGTTCGCTAATCCAGTTAGCTTGAGGTTTGTTACCAAATATTTTACAAGTTATTTATTGTTTGAACTATGTATGTAAGAGTCGGATTTAATACGATGTTGTCAATGCTTTGATTAATATTAGTAAAAAAACCATTGACAAGTTTTTTTAGGAACAAACATAATCATTGGTTATATGTTTGAAAATATTTAAATCATATTTGAGACAATAGAACATTTGCTAAAATTTATTTTTTTATGTATAATCTATAATAATCCTAGCAATTATTATAAACAACAGATTAAAATTGTCTCTCATTTCATATCATTATTAGAAAATATTTTTAAAAATGAAATCACTTAAAAGGATTTTCTGTTCATAATTTCTATAAGTAAGATATATATAAAAATTGATATCAGGCTAAACATAATAAACATGTTTTCATTAAACTTAAAAATAACGTTGCTGTTTTCTTCTGACATATAGTCAGAAGAAAACAGATAAAATATAGAATTAAATCAATTAAACTAATTGAAAATCTATATCTATAGAACTATCAAAACATACTTGGATATATCTATAGAGATTGCTATATAATCAAGGATCATCCATGACATCGCTATATAGAAATAAAAATAGATAAAATCTACTTATAAACAATAAATTCATCAATGACAACTAACCCCACTCTATAGATGTATCAAATACATTCTTTTAGATCCAGATACCAAGTTATGGTTCCATCGCTTCATGCTTAATAGAAAATATCTGTAATGGCTACAATCCAATTATTTTTCATTCTACTGTCGGAGCTCGCAAGCATTTCTATAGCTTTATACAGTAAAATCAAAAGATACTGGTGTGAAGTGAATATTGGTTTATTATTTGTTGTTACACATATAGATTCCTTTATTACGTATTTTTATTGAATTTTAATTATTTATAACTGAAATATGTTAGCTATTTGCAACGATTTAGTAATTTAAGCATTACAATTTACAAACAATCTTAAAATATACGTTTTTAATGATCTCACAGATAATATAATTTATCTGTCAAATCTGACATTTGACGTTTGACAAATAATAGTACAAACTTTTTCCGTCCGATCGCCGTAAATACGTAATTCCATTTATTACGTATAAGAGGAATTCCGTAAGTATAAAAACTGTAGCGCTAAGAGGCACGTTATAAAGATATCGCCCGTCATTGTAATTTCATTTCCTGGAATCAATTGCCGTGTATGATCATGCGCCGTTTTTTCTTGTAATCATACGTCCGAATATATCCGGAGGGTTGGCAAAAAAAATGTCATTTCGTATATAGGTATACACCGTGAAAATTAATAATGATACATTTGAAAGATTTTATCTCTGATAACATTAAAACCTTTTTAACTTTTTATGAACACTCAAATTTTTGCTTTACAGCCATATAAATATATACATACTTTTTATTATTTAACAAAAAACGAGATAATTATTTTCTAACCGTACTTTATATATGATGCTACATCGGTAATTGATAAAGTCCATGTTCACACTAAATGGAAATGATTTTTTTGAGAATCGCATTAAAATCGGTCCAGCATACAAGTGTTGTAATTGCCTGTGGGTTGTAGCAATTGCGTAATTGCTCCAATTACTCCCGATACTGATTCCCGTTCATAAAGACATTATAATATTATCAAAATGATTATACGATGCTGTTTAGTATTTACTCAATATATTTTTTATATTACACTCAGTAAACGCCTCGCGATTTCACCGACCTCATTCATATTCTTTCATTTAACTGCATTTTGAAGTTACATTTAAATTTAACTGTATGTTATTAAACACGTTGTTATTTAAATGATTGAAGTTTAACAAGATTTTAGACGAAATATTTTTCATAAACTATTATATATATAACAGAATTTTTTATTATTAAATTTATTTAATATAAAGTTTATTTAAAAATATAACGCCCGCGGCAGATAACCGTTCACAATCATTACGCCAATCATTTTGTATCGATCCCGGGAAATTAATTTTTGGATTCAGCTTTAATAAAGTAATAATTTATAATCTAAATATGTGGCTGCATACACACTGACGTGGAACTGGAAGCATAAAATGTATTTTTAGTTTAATATATTTTGTAGCGACAATGTATCTTAACTTGAAGAGTAATAAGAATAATTTAGTTCTAATCAAATAATATATAAAATAGAATTAGATACGATTTCAGAACGTATAAAACATTAATAATATTGATTTAATTAATATTTGAATACAAATATCAGGACGCTCTAGTATATAATTGTCACGAAAATCTCCATAAGGTTTTTACTACCGTTACTTCCCAAATTCTAATACATATTTTCGTTGAACAAACATTATATTCGTACAGTATAATACAATAAATCACAGTATAAACAGATATAGGCTCCTACTATATTTAGCAAATGATTTCGCGAGCCATCGCAGCCCGGAGCGCGGTAGATTGAAACTTGATAAATTACACTACACATTACACAAACCTTTTTAACAGAATAGGTTGTAATAAAAATTTAATACACGAACTATATATTCAACATTATTATACTACGATATAAGAGATAAAGATTTTTTGGCTATAAAATTATTAGTTAAAGGCTGATATGTAAATATGAATACATTTTTATCAATTTCATATGATAGTTTGATTTTTGTTTCATTGTAATCTAATAAATTAGTATAAGTAGGTATTTCGGTCTAAATAAAATCTGGCTAGAATCTATCTAATATTGAAAATGTAATAAAAAAATAATTACCTATGTAGATTTAAATACTGTTGTATTAATGTATGTAGTTTGTAGTAGGTAGTAGTAGTAATATAAGGTAAGTCAGCGGTGGCCTAGTGTTTAAAAGACTCGCCTCTCATGTATGAGGGCGCGGGTTCGATCCTGGCCCGGCAAGTACCAATGGCATTTTTCCGAGCCATATGTACTTTCTAAGAGTATTTAGACATCACTGATTAATGTATTCCCAAATGTCAGCAGGCGGATAGTCGTAAAATCAAATAGCCAAAACTATTCACAACATGAAAGCAGACCCTGGCTATAGCTGAGAAATTGCCAGGAACAAGAAGTAGTAGTAGTATAAAGTAGTTTATTATAAAGCTTTCCTAACAATAGTCAGTACATTTAATAGCCTCTGATAATATAGTGATCCCCAAATCCAGTTTATAAAATGACTGTTACGAATGTACAGTATCTCCTCTCTCCCTCGAGGGTCATAAGTCTTGAAGCTGCGCGATCTGATTCACCTTTTGCTAACTTAAGTTTTACGAACTTTAACGTTTTGATTTACAAACCGATTCTAGTACTGTATGCTTTGAAAATATTTATTATATATATATTTTATATTAATTTTGTGGTAGTCTTAAACTCGATCGGAAACTACAAAGATTTGTTACTTTGGTTTTGAATTTGTAAGCTACACTTAAATATATAATTGTATGTAATTAGCTTTATTATATAATAGTCATGCTTTGGCAAGTACCAATGTGATTTTTCTATGTACACTCTAAGAATATTTAGACATCACTGTTTAATGCATTCCCAATAAGGATTGATGTCAGGCAGGCGGCCGGTCATAAAAAACAAATAGCCAAAACTATTCACAACATGTTAGGCAGACCCTGGTTAAAGCTAGGAAATTGCCATGTAGAAGAAGATGTAATTAGCTCTATTATTTCTTGTTAGTTTTCCTTCAATTGGAAACTCATTATATATCAATCAAGCTACGTATTTTGTTATAAAACTC